CGTAGCTGTGGAGGAAACGGCAAAGGTTGATGCCATCCTTGGAGGTGCCCATAAGGCAAACGTCGCTCCCGCATTTGAAGTTTGCCTGCTGTTAAAGGGGCTTAAGGAAACGGCTTGGTTTATGGACAACGGGTATACTCAACATATGACGCACTGAGATGATTAGCTACACAACTACCGGGAATATGGAGTCGCGTACGTCCTACTCGGGGATGAAGGGAAATTTCCAGTCCAAGAAGAATGGGACCTGATTCTGCAAAGCCCCTATGGGAAGCTGCAAATGGACAATGTTCTACTTGTGGAGAAGCTGTCACTAAACCTGATGAGTCAAATGCAACTCGACAGCAGTGGCTGCAAGACCTTAAGTGACAACTGAAAGCTTTGGGGTTTCGATCCCAACCGGAAACTGACGGCAGAAGGCGTACGGACTCAAATATTGTATGAGATGAAGCTGAAGGAGCAACGTGCAGAATAGATTACCAATCAGACAGAACCTGAAGAAGGGAAGAAAGCCCGAGTAGAGCTACATACCATGCAGGAAAAAATTGCAGTGACTGGACTGCATCACGTAAAGTTTCCCATGGCAGCAGCGGCAGAACCAGTTGGCATCAATCTTCTGCTCAAACGGATGGGGCACGAAAGCACTAAACAGATCAAGGAAATGATGAAGAAAAACATGGCAGCGGGAGTAAAGGTGAATGATGCTAAGAAAACCCATACGAAATGCGACTCATGTGTCGAAGGAAATGCCACAAAGTTTCCTTATCCAAGACATGGACCGAAGGAGCGGTATGGGGCAATGGAAGTAGTGGCAGCGGACGTATGTGGTCCTATGGGTCACATCACGACATGGCAGTAGACACTTCCTCACATTCACGAACATCGGCATACGACTCACATGGGTGACGGAAGTTAAAAGAACTCAAGTTTTACCAAGTTTCATTGATTGGTTGGCGGAAGCTGAAAGGTGAAGCAGCAAGCTGATGAAAAATCTCTGGACCAGTAACGGTGGGGAATTCATCAACAAGGACTTCAACGACTACATGAATGCTAAGGGAATACAAAGGCTGCATGTAATTCCCCATACCCCTCAACACAAGAGTATTGCGGAGCGGGTGAATAGGACGCTACTCTACAGCGTGCGAAGCAAAACGGCAGAAAGCAAGCTGCCCTTGACCTACTAGGGGGTTGCGCTAGGCATGGCCTGTTGGCTGAAAAATCGCATACCGATGAAAGGACTTGCAGCGGACATGACACCTCATGAAGCATTCTACGAAGGGAAGCCTAACCTGAAGTTTCTTTAGGTATGGGGTTGTATGACGCAGTACTGGCCCCATGCTGGGGCTGATTGCAAACTTCGCCAAGAGCACAATGGGGGGAACATGCCCGAAGAGCAAAGGCTGGATTATCAAAGATGTGGAGACCGGGATTGTGCTGGCAACCAGAGACGTTACATTCTACGAAAATGTTAACTATGTGAACTGGAAGGCGGGCAACAAGGGAAGAACCCCCGGGACAGCACCTGCCACACCTCTACGTCAATAGCATTGATCACCAAGGAAAGAAGAAAGACCTACAACCTGCCACAAGAACCCTTGAGCATCCAGGAAGCAGTTTCGTGCCCACACAAAGAGCAGTAGAAGGCGGCTATACAAGAAGAGTTGGGTGCTTTCGCAGAGAGAGGCATGTGGAAACTAATCCAAATGCCTGAAGGGAGGCACGCCGTTGGCGTCAAGTGGATTTTCAAGATAAAAACAAGGGATATGGAGTAGCTGGAGATGTTCAAAGCACGCCTGGTGGCAAAAGGACACACGCAAGTGGAGGGGATCGACTACAAGGACACGTATGCACCTGTCAGCATATTGAAAACAGCAAGGACACTCTTCAAGATCGTTGCGGCACGCAACTACATCATGGTACAACTCGACATCAAGAATGATTTCCTCTACGATGAGCTATAAGAGGACAATTACATGGATCAGCCAACAGGTTTTGAGGACGAAACTGACAAAAAATGCAAGCTACTGAAACAATGCCATCGAGAATGGTATGGGGCTATTGATGTGGCTGCTCAAAGAAGGCTTTCATAAAAGTCAGTGTGATTGAGCATTTTACTGGAAAGGTGAAGGGGAGGAGAAAGTGTACCTCCTGCTCTACATCCATGACATCTTCGTGGCTAGAGCTTTGGAGGACAGAGTTGAGGAGGTGTGTGCTCACCTTGCATCTATCTTCTAGGTGAAGCAGATCCAGAGACCCACGTTGTTCCTTGGCATGAATCTGGAGCAGGACAGAGAGGGAAGGAAGCTGCTACTTGCTAGAAGAAATACATTCCAAGGCTGCAAGATAGGTTTGGGACACATGGCTGCACCAAAACAATGACAACTCCGCTCAGCAGCCTTTCGGAGAAATAGATTAACCCTGAAGAAATACTCATCGAATGGGGCAGCAAGGAGCGAGCATTGAAGGCCTACCAGTCACGGGTCGGATCAGTGATGTACACTGCTCTTGTACGCGGGTAGATGTCGCACATGCTGCCAGCTTCTTAGGGCAGAACGTGCTCCAGCTAGAAGACCGCAAATGGAAGGAGATGCAGCGCACAATCACTTATTTGCAGCAATGGGGAAAAGAGGGGCTGCTATACGAAGGTGGAGAAGAAACAATGGAGTCAATTGGCTACGCTGATGCATAACATGCATCAAAAAAGAAGACACAGAAGGGTGCCTATGGATACGTCTTCCTCCTTGGTGGGACAACAATGCCATGGCAAGGGAAGAAGCCTAGCGACATTGCAAGGAGTGTAGCTTAGGCGTTTGCGGCAAGAAATGGGGGTACCTGTACAAGGATCAACAACCATGAGAACGGACAACTAGTCGGCCACGGCATTGGCGAGATACGACAACTTGCACGGACGCACTAAGCATATGGACATAAAAAATAATTGGGTGAGTGAACAGCTCGAGAACAAGACATTTACCTTTGAGTTCGTACGTACACAAGATCAGGCAGCCGACTTTCTTACTAAGGTCCTTCCAAAGGCAAATTTCGAACTGTGCAAGTATCATGTCGGGGTGCGTAACTTGCAGGACTTACAGGGGAGAAACGAGGTGCAGGAAGAGTGATGAAGATTTCAGATATAGGGTTAGCAGTGGCTAGCATGGAGGAGCAGCCAACCATATGCAGAGGTTGACGCCGACTTGGGCGTGCAGGTCGACAGGGTGGTCGACCTGCAGGCGACCATTGCGATGACGCTGTCGATGAGAGCTGGCCGCCTACTTCGACGGGGAGGTCAACGAAGGTGGTCGTTGACCTACGCGAGACTGTTGAGGGGCCGTTGACGATGGATGTTTGACGGCATCAGATGACCGAGTTGGTTGATGGAGGGGTCTGTCGACCGGGGTGGTATTCGACGGGAGCAGTGGTCGACGAGGGAGGTCATCGACAAGGGCGCGGGGTGGTTGACCCGGTCGACCAAGTTACCTCTTCGACGAGGTTTTGCAGATGCATGCGAGGCTCGTCGAGGTTGCGATGGCGAACGCGACCTCATGCTGGTATCCCGAGGTCGGCGTGGAGCTTCTAGCGCTATTGTCGGCACGTGGCTGACTTGGCATCTGTACGATGGTAGAGAACGTGCTCGACCGTTGCTCCGCATCTGCAAAGTAGGTGCGCACATGCGCTATTGTCACTAGGGGTGCATTGTTGGCACGCCACTCTGCATCAGCGTTGGCAAATTGCCTCGTTGCTTTGTTGGCAGGCTGCGGACTTGCTCTGTTGGCGGGCCGCTCTTCCGCAACGTTGGCGGAGTGCCTCTGCGCAATGCTGCCAGACTGTCGACCATGATGCGCTGGTGGTCGACCAGCTTGCCGGCTAGGTTGCTAAGCTTTGATGTAGTCATTTGTGCCATAGCTTGTTTTCTGAACCCCAACTTTGCTAGTGAAACCCTTGCCAATTCTTGTGAATATGTGTGTAGAGAGAGCAAATGCTAACGCCAAGGAATGCTACGATCAGTCATAGAACCCGTGGATTCCCCCGTCGTCTAGCTCCCAATGTAGAGTGAATCTCCGCAGCTACAAGATGATGAGAAACAGTTGGAAGAAATAAGGGTTTCAGGAGAGAGAGAGAGAGAGAGAGAGAGAGAGAGAGAGAGAGAGAGAGAGAGAGAGAGAGAGAGAGAGAGAGAGAGAGAGAGAGAGGAGAAGATGTTCTAGATCGCCAGAATTTTCCCAACCATCCTAGAGGCGGTGTTTAGCGGAATTGAAGAAATTCGGTTTCAACGACGGTTTAGTTCGGTAACTAAAATGTTTGTTACCGAGGATGCCTCGTCTTCACTCACATACAACGCCGAAGAGGGCGCCGTGTCTTCCGGCCAGGCCAAGAGCCATTGGCAAGCCCATGTCGTCGTCTGGAGCCAATCCAGGCTCATCATTACAATACCCTCCGCATTCGTCGGCAAAAGCGTCTGGTAGCTCGCCGTCGCAAACGTCACCTCCAGTCGCCGTGATGTCGTCTGGCATGATGCACGAGCTTCTGGAGTGTCCCGTCTGCACCAACTCCATGTTCCCTTCCATTCATCAAGTGACCTTACCTTTCCATTGTTGAACTTTACTTTAAATGTGGAAACCAATTTTTAGGGCTTGCTGGATACAAATCGTAATGAGCCTTTAACTTTCAATTTTGTTTGTATTTCCTTGCAGCGTTTTCACATTAGCCTTGAAGCTCTATTGTGAATCGATGGGAGGTAGCAAACTGCGGTTTCGTTCCTTTGAATAAACTGAACCGCGTTACCCAATGTTCTTGCTGATTGTTTTGACCTCTCGATTAAGCACCTATTTTCTCAATTTCTCACACTCCCAAGACGTTTCAAGCCTGACCAGTAACTCAACCTTGCGGCGTGCCCTATAATGTGAATCTAAACTTCCACCAACCCTTTCCACCCGCACAATGTCCCAATCGCCATACGCTCTCCTCCCCGAACCCCCTAATAGTGCCCCAACGGCCACACTTTATGTTCGCACTACAAGGCGCGCGTGCACAACCGCGAGGACAGGACCCCCAGAGGAGTCTGCCAGAGAGACTGCAACAGACCGACCAAGCCGCGTGAGAGTGGTGCGGTCTCGAAAGAAGGAGCGAGAAGCACCCGAGTCAAGGGTGAAGGTGTGGGAGGCCGAAGCCGACGCAGTACCTGAGAGAGCAGACTCACCAGCACCTAAGGACCCAGACGCACTAGCACCTAGAGTAGCAGCCTCGCTAGCACCTAGAGCAGCAGCCTCACCAGTACCTAGAGCAGCAGTCTCAATGCCCGGGTCGGGCGGAAAACACCGGTAACAGTCACCCTCATCACTAATAGTCACAGCATACATGGCAGCAAGAATAGCATCAAAGTCAAGGTCAAAGACAGCTACTCCCGCCCTAGACAGCTCACCCCAGCGGGGGATCTCAGTGGCCTCCGGGAACTGGTGACGCCAAGCGTCCGTCAGGCGGCCAAAGCAGCGCTGGGTGGAGTGCGCACCCCCGCACTGCTCACCCGCGCGGTCGCTGGTGCGTAGGACGTAGGTGCACAGACCAGCCCCCCCACCCCACTGGCGTGCAGCGTACCACTCACGGAGCTGCTGAGGGGGGGGGATGTCACGAGTGCGCTGCTGCTGCTGCTGCTGGCGCTAACCACTACCGGAGCCGACCCTCTGCGCAGCGCCACCCTGACCAGCTCCACCTCCTCCGCCACCGCCTCCTCCACCGCCGCCACCTCCGCTACCTCCGCTCCCGCCGCCACCGCCGCCGCCTCCTCCGCCTCCACTGCCGCCACCTCCACCTCCACTCCCGCCGCCACCCCCACCGCCACCCCCACCCCCTCCGCCGCCTCCACTGCCGCCTCCACCGCCCCCGCTAGCTCCTCCAGCGCCCCTGCCCCCTTTGCCCTTGCTAGGGCGGCGCTTCCCGCTAGGGGTAGACGCCGCACCGACCGACTCCAGACCAACGAGGTCGGCCGCAGCAGCAGAGGCAACAGAGGGCAAAAGGGGGGAGGGGGAACACCCCTCAAAGATGGGGGTGTGAGGGTCACCACGAGAGGCTCCTACAGCTACTATGTTCTTCTGTGCCGCTAGGAGGGCTTTCTCGAGGAGGTCAACGGTGAGAGTGGTGGGGCAAACTGAGAGGAAGTGGTCTTTGACTACGCGAAGGGAGTCAGGGAGCCAGGTGACTATGTAGTAGAGGGTGATGTACATGGGGGGTGGGTTCTTGGCGCAGAAGTCAGCAGGAAGCGCAGCGCGCTAGCGAGTGTCACTAGTGCGGAGGTGCGTAATGAGGTCAGCGACTGTGGGAAAGGCAGCAAGGTCAAGGAAGAGGTACGGTAGCATGAGGCGGCTAAGTGCAGCAGTGGCAGGGGAGGAGTAGCGTGCAACTACAGCGTCGTACAAGGTCTGAGCACTCTTGTACTGGCTAAAGTGTGCACGCTCAGTGGTCGATAAGTGGCGACGCACAGCAAGACGAGCAGCAGCATCGCGTGTGGCCCACTGTGAGCGAACAGTGGCTTCAGCATCAGCAGCAGGGGCAAGAGAGGCACCAAAAGTGAGGTCAAAGAGGGAGAGGCCGTCTGCCCTATCGCACTGGAGAAACAGCTGGAGGTCATCAACCCAGACCTCAAAGTCAATGGCACGGCCCTTAGCATCAAAAGTAAGGACACTAGGGGTAGCCATGATAGCAGTGGCCTAGTAGGGAGTGAGCTCACCAGTCCAGGGAAGGAGGGCCGGGGCGCACCGGTAGGAACAGCAGCGGCTCCTCAGTAGTGCGGCTCGGTGGCTCGGCAGCTCGGCGCCAAGGCGGCTCGGCTGCTAGGCGGCTCGGCTGCTAGGCGGCTCGGCTGCTGGGCGGCTCGGCGGCAGGGCGGCTCGGCTGCTGGGCAGCACGGCTCCTGGGCGACTCGGCAACTCGGCGGCTGGGCGGCTCGGCTGCTGGGCGGCTCGGCTGCTGGGCGGTTCGGTTGCCGGGCGGCTCGGTTCCTGGGCTGCTCGGCTGTTCGGCAGGTAGGCGGTTCGAGGCCGTAGGCGGCGGCTGCGTGGCCGCAGATGGCGGCGGCGGGGCCGCTGGTGGCGGTGATGGGGCCGCCCGTGGCGGCGCCGGGGCCGTAGGGGGGCCTAGACGGGGCCGCGGAGGGGCCTTAAGGGGCCCGGACGGGGCCGTAGCGGGGCCGTAGCGGGGCTGTAGTGGGGCCGTAAGGGGCTTGGACGGGGCCGCGGAGGGGCCTTAAGGGGCCTGGACGGGGCCGTAGCGGGGCCGTAGCGGGGCCGTAAGGGGCCTGGACGGGGCCGCGGAGGGGCCTTAAGGGGCCTGGACGGGGCCGTAGCGGGGTCGTAGCGGGTCCGTAGCGGGGCCGTAGCGGGGCCGTAGCGGGGCCGTAAGGGGCCTGGACGGGGCCGCGGAGGGGCCTTAAGGGGCCTTTACGGGGCCGTAGCGGGGCCGAAGCGGGGCCGTAGCGGGGCCGTAGTGGGGCTGTAAGGGGCCTAGACGGGGCCGCGGAGGGGCCTAGACGGGGCCGTAGCGGGGCCGTAAGGGGCCTAGAAGGGGCCGCGAGAGGGCCGTAAGGGCGACGCGAGGGGCCTTAAAGGGCCGTAAGGGGCGACGCAAGGGGCCGTAGAGGGCGGCGCGAGGGGCCGTAAGAGGTGGCGCGAGGGGCCATAATGGCGGTCAACGGGGCCGTGAGAGGGGCCACTAAGGGCGGCTCGAAAGTAGGGAGGGCACACAGAGCGCGACTCGGTCTAGAGTGAAGCGCGCCCCGGGCAGGGAAAAAAAAATTATCGTGGTGGGCCCTAGGTAGCGTTCCCACTAGGGAACCTGCTCGATACCATGAGAAGAAACGAGAATGGATCAACTATGAAAGAGTTGGGTACAAGTACTAACCCTAATTGGGTTGTACCCCTTATGGGCTACCCCACTACAGCCTACACAAAATGCATAAGCTATGATGTTCTGACATGCCCCACGTGCCGCTATGAGCTGGGCAACAATCGCTGCCTCGCGCTCGAAAATGTCGCCGAGTCCCTCGAACTCATCTGCAAGCACCACACACTCAGCTGCCTGCAAATTCTCCCCTACTACTGCAGGGTGAAGCACGAGGCATTGTGCGAGTTTCGCCTGTACTACTGCTCGTACGTGGGGTCGAAGTGCGCGGTGACGGGGGATGTGCTGGCGCTAGTGGCGCATCTAAGGGATGATCATAAGGTGGACATGCATAATGGAGGCACGTTCAGCCACCGCTACGTGAAGCAGAAGCCGCAGGAGGTCAAGAACGCAACGTGGATGCTTACGGTGAGTGAGAGTGTGTGTGTGTGGGTTAGTGATTTAGTGAGTGAGTGAGTGAGTGAGTGAGTGAGGAAGTGCATGACTGTGTGGATGGATAATGAGTGGAGTACATGGTTTGTGTGGATGTGGGAGTGTCGTGGGGCGTGTCATGGTATTTAGTGTTGCGATTCCGTTGCTCATTGCTCTTCTCACAACTAGGAGGCAGCGAAGGAGCTGGGCCTGGGGATTGGCTATCCTCATCCCATCACATGGAGCCTCAACATGAGAGTGCCGATCGACATAAGACGCGGCGTTCATAGGCACAAATGAGATAAAAGTGCGAGGAGATGAAGACCAGCGAGTGGTACCGCTTCTCCTCTCACGATGATAACCACCTAATATCACCTTTCCGCCACCTTTAGTGGCTCGCCAAACTGCGCGATTACGGACATGCAATCTCGCTTGACACTAACAAAGGGAGGGGATCCATGTTGACTGCGGACGATTTCGATAGGACGTGGGACGATGCTAGGTCTCCAAACGGCGGATGTGGATAGTGGGTGCTAGGCCGGACACGGGCAGAGAGGCTTGCCAAACTGCGCAATTACGGACATGCGACGCGTTTCTCTTACAAGGTTGAGGATGCCCGTCTCCTTAGCCACTGGGATATGCGAAAGGCAATGCTTGCTCAAACTGGAAGCCAGTGTGTGGCATGTTCAAGTCCCGTGCCCATAGTCTAATACACGAGCTCCACAAACCTTCAAAGGGGAAGGCGCTAAGATTGAAAGGGTTGAGTAGAGTACATGGTTTGTGAGTGGATGTGGGAGTGTCGTGGGGCGTGTCATGGTATTTAGTGTTGCGATTTCATTGCTCATTGCTCTTCTCACAACTAGGAGGCAGCGAAGGAGCTGGGCCTGGGGACTGGCTATCCTCATCCCATCACATGGAGCCTCGACATGAGAGTGTCGATCGACATAAGACGCGGCGTTCATAGGCACAAATGAGATAAAGTGCGAGGAGATGAAGACCAGCGAGTGGTACCGCTTCTCCTCTCACGATGATAACCACCCAATATCACCTTTCCGCCACCTTTAGCTTTCCCTGTTACAATGTTTGGGAACCAACTGTACAGTACTACAGGTGCCTTCCTCTTCTGTTTGTTTATTCCAAGTGCTCAAACTCACACAATTTCCACCCACTTTCCGCTCTTTTTTCTTCGAATTCCCTCCAAGTCTGTTCCCTTACAGTCGTAGATCAGCAATCTGTCTCTGGGAATCGAATCTCAAACTCATGCCTCGAAACTTCTCCCAACTCTCTCCCAATCTATCCCTTACAGGCGGACTCGTAGACCAAGCTTCATTCACCGGGCTGCACTTGTCAACAGGAGTTGTGGTTGGCCCCGTCCTCACTTGGGCGAAGCCGACCTCGTGGTCGGGTGTGCGGGAGGTGCAGCCGACCTGCAGCAGTGGGCGATGTTGACTTGGGCGTGCTGGTCAACAGGTGTGGTTGACCTGCAAGAGGCCACTGCCACAATGCCGACGATGGGGATCCAGCGGTCGAACAGTCCCGTTGGTCGAAGAGGGTGGACGCCGACTTTGGGAGGCGCCGACGTCGACCTGGACAGAGGAGCTGGATGGCGCCGAGTGAGGGCGCCGAGTTTGCGAGTCGACCGGAGGTGGTCGTCGACTTGGGTGGTCAACGGGCACATGAAGGAGGTGCTGGTCAACGAGGTGGTTGCCTCGTCGACCAGGTTACCCGGGCGACGGGTTTTGCGGAGGCACGCGACAGTTGCCCAGGTGTTAGTGGCCAAGCCAACCTCAGTGTGGTATCACGAGGTTAACGTGGCTAATCAGGAGCAGTCGTCAGCACGAGGACGATCTGGTGTGTGCGCTGTACAGGTGACAAGACACAGCCCGCCAATCATCTACGAGCACCTACGAAGCGGGTCCGCTGCTGTCCTACGGATGCAATGCTGTGCAGCCGGCTTGCTGCAGCGTTGGCACGCCGTCGACTTGCAGTGTTGGCAGGCCGCAACTTTGCACTGCTGGAGTGCGGTCGACCATGTCATGCTGGATCGCGATCGACCGTTCCACACTGGCAGTCGTCCTGCTTGCATTCTAGCTCTGATGTAATCAGTCTTGCAAACTTTGTTGCTATTATTCTGAACCATTGTTGTCTTGTTTTTTTCCTAGTGAAACTCTTGCCAATTCTCCCTTCCAACTAGCAAATAGTGTGAACACTTGGAAACGACTAAGAAACAAACGAACGTAGAGATCCCTCCCACCCCATGCCTAGCCTGTAGTTTAGCTCCCGTTGATTGAGTTATCTCCGCATGGTGCGATGAGCGAGGACGGCACACGACTTACCTTTCAGTCTAGCCGACTTAGTGGCCACTTACCTAATTCGTGTTCGTAGGCCAGCAGCTGTGCGTTAGTCACCACAATGGTTGGCGTAGGTGACACTAGCGGTGCAGAAACCTTAGAGGCACGGCTCGAGGATTCAAGGAGACGCCATGAGGAGCGCGAGTACGGGGATATCCCCTGGGCGGTCGTCGAGGCTAGCATCTGCGCCATGTGGGTGATGGAGCACCCTTCTTGACCTGCTTCTCCTCGACTGGTAAACAATGAGAGCGGCGTCGACGTGGACGCCGGTGATCAAGTCGGTAGCACTGCGGGAGGCACGTCAAGGCAGCGAGGTGTGATTCATGTCGATGAAGTCGGTGGCGTTCAGACACGAGTGATACGGTCGTTGACGGCTGCAGGGTCCTCGCAAGGCGACGTTGGTGGTCAACGAAGCTGATTGATGTCGTCGTCGGTGACACACGTGACAGCGGGAGGGATAGCGCCGAGCTACGGTTACTTCAAGTTTACGCCGGACAGAATCTTGGTAACCCCCTGCTGGTCGGTCGACATGACATTCTCATGTGGAAGGAAGCAATTGAGCCTCAGCTGGAGATGGCCGGGGTCATGGGCTTCGGCGCAGGCATTGTGGCGACGCCGTTGGAGAACTACTCTGACCTGCATGCAGAGTTTTGCGTTGTGCAGACGCTGACCTTCAATGTCATCTCGCGGTGCTGCTCGCCGGGCGTGCAGATCGCCCTGAAGCTGTGCAAGGACTACTTGGACGCCGGCCACCAGGCATGGCACTTCATCGAGTCAACTTACCAGGTCATCGACAACCTGTACATTGGCCAGCTTGAGGAGCAGATGACGCATCTGCGAATGGGCAACCAGGAGACTGCAGCCGACTACTACAACCGGGCTCGGCGACTTCTTGCCACCATGAGGATGTCTGGTGTGCAGTACTCGACGGCGTCGTACGCCACCCATATCCTGGACGGCCTCCCGAGTAGCTACACCCTGATGAAGCGGGTGTCGGTGGTGCCGAGCACGCGGGCGACGCTCAATAAGGACTCCCT